CTACTTCATAATTTAATAAACACAATATATGTACCATAATCGTCATTTCAACCTTCGCACAAAAATTATAAAAATTCAGCAGATTTTCCCAACAACAAACTATGAACTCAAGAATTTTTAAGGGGATTCCAAGTTTTCAATTACATGCATTTTTTCCATATAAAGTGTGTTCGAAATTTTTTTAATGGATTAAAATGTATGACACCGTCACCGAAAAAAATATCAAAAATCATAGGAATATTGCAGAAACTTGCACTTTTATTTAATGGACTATAAAACTGCAAACTTAGAATCTTTTTAAAAATTCTGAGCTAAAAGTTTGTTGTCGCGAAAACTTACTTTTCGTACTGCGTATCCACAATAGAATTCAGCGGTTTGTAAATATTTCCCACGGCCCTTATTTTACTTTTAGTGCTTTTAATTTTCACTTTTTGTATTTTTTTAATCTATAAATTGGTATGTGATTCTTTTATTTTATAGTGGCCTTTTGTTTTAAATTTCTGTATTTTAAGATTGTGCCAAAGCAGGATGAATTGTGCCAAAAGTGCCTCTGTGAATGAAAGTGCCAAAAATGGCATTATTGTGCCTACATTTCCATCACTGGCCAGGACTATCGATGTTGCTCGATACATCAATGTTTTTTTTACAACCCTATGACGGTGATGTTGTTGCTTCCCAATAAACATTTAGGTTTGAGCTCAACTTGAGGTTAAGTTGAGAACTAAGGTATTTCTCAAATCTCCAACGTTGTTTCTCAACAGTACCTCAAGTGGAGGATGTTAGCGTTCTCAACAAAAAGGGCATTTTTCTTTGTATGAAAAAAGGACTGTCTATCAAGTTGAGAAAATGCCAGTTAACAACTTGAACTCCAATGTAATTCTCCAATTGGTCTCAAACATATCATTGAAATACTGAAATTGGTATAGTAAAATACCTTATACCTTTTTGATTGAAACGACATACATAGATGAATTTAAATATTAATTTTTCATTTTATTAATCCTTTTATATTATGTCGTTAAGCAAAATCGTATTACAATAATTCACTTCACAGTACACAGTCCGACAGTAATTTTGCCACTAGATTCACTTGGCGTTTTATTTTCTTTCAAGATTATTTGAGGTTTAAAGATTATTTACTTTTTGTTGGTAATTTTCGCCTTTATATAGCTTTAGTTTTTCACTTGATAATTAAAAGTTCGTTTCTCTATCACTTTTTACGTATCTGCGCATCGGTTAGAGATGAGATGGAGAATGATGTTGGATATCAACTTGAAACTATGAATTTCTCCAAGGTTGGAGAAATATTTTTTTAGTGTTTATTGGGTTCTATCGCTATCAGAAGCGAATTTGATATGTTTCTCTGTCCGTCAACCTACGTTTACGCTACGTCGTTGTGTGCCAGCCCTATAATACATATTATGTACATACATACATATAATCACTCATATTAAATTTTTATACCCCACATTTGTTTTCGTAGAAGTTTCCGCTTTTAGTTCGGTTTAGATACGATTAGAATTTAATTATTTAAAATGCAAAATAGCGCACATCGTCGGCGATACTGCAAAACGTTATATGTCCCTTATTACCCTTGGTGCTTAATTGATCTGTTATCTGTAACTGATCGCTTTTCTGGCAATCGTTCATCTTCATCAGCAAAAGGTAGACAGTCTTGTCATTCGTTTATTAGGGTGAAACAATTTACAGATGCATTCCGGCGCAAGTAAGAGATAATTTAAGTGTCAAGGGTACTAATAAACATAGACCGTTTTGCAGTATCACCGACGACATGTATGTACATTGTACATTGTACATATGTATGTATAACCGCTTTAGTGCAGTGTGCTATAGTACATACTAGTTCCGATCCCGTATGAGTCCGGACCAGTCAGAAATAGTCGGTTCGCTGACTATTGGGAGGACACAAATAAGACTAAATAAGGTTCTCTCTGTGTCAGAAGTTACCAGTTTCAGTCCGAAGATTTTTTGCGGGTAAATTCTGGTAAATGTGTCAAACGATCAGCTGTACTGTGTTTGGCAACCAAATTGTAAACAAAATAAAAGTGCACTCTGCTAATTCATGTTGAAAACTATTTAATTACTTGTTTAAGTGGATTTGAAAGTATTTTTGGTTATTTACATGTGTGGGCTGAGTGTGTTTACATTCAAAATAAGCAAAAAAATACAACCAAAGTTTGGAGGTTATGTTGAATTTGTCAGAAGTTACCATTTTTTTACTAGAAAGCGATCCCGTACTTTTCAGTGTTACTCTCTCGCTCTTAGCGAATTTTTAGGTTTTGAATACGGGATTGGACCTACTGCGGGAATATACTTTTCTTGTAAGTTGTATCAGAACTAATGTGGTTAATTTGTTGGATAACTACCCAATATTACTGTATTAAATTGATAACAGTTTTAACTGGCGTCGTTTTGTTTTAGCTACCGCGTTAAATCAGTGCTGGGTTAAGTTTTGTTTTTCTCATTCTAAAACTTCGAGTTAGTTTATTTTAGTTTATCAGTAATAGATTGTAATTCAAAGTGTTCGGATGCAATTTTGGCAATAAAATTTAAAAATCAAATCTTAGCTTGGTTGAGGCAAGTGAATAAAAAATTAAAGAAAAAGTCTGGGAAAATCGCTAGAACTGCAAACGGATATAAAAGGGAAGCGAAAATACCGATCGACGGTCTATAAAATTCGCATATCCACTGCTGAACTTGTAGCATTAGTTGCATTCGCGTACCTGATAAATTGATAGTTATCAAAAGTGGCCAGCTGTGCCACTTGCAAAGTAGGGGAAATTGAGAGAGTAAAGCGACATTTCATTTTGAGTGGAGGTTTTTGGGTTCTGATGGAAAAATTTTTACCAGCAGCAATTGGCATCAAGAAAACAGCTGATCAAAAGCCGCTATATGGAATTTACGCAAATCACTAAATTTAATTTGTTGTTTTGGAAGTGAAAAATGATAAAATATGACTGATTAAACTTGCAAGAAGTAAGCAATTATTCGCTTAGTCAATAAATTGTGCGAGGATAACACTTTGCGATCAATTTTCTTAAGGCAGTGTCACACGATTGGGCATTTGCCCACAATTTGGTGCAAATTGTATCCCAGTCGTGTGAATGCACACATACATATTTTCTTTATCACAATCACGAATTATGCCAGGGAAGTAATTAGAGCGAGAATAAAAATTTTGACATGGCCTTATTTGAAAATTTGCCTATAAAACTTGACTATAACGGCCATTTTTTCAGTGCACGGCCGTGGTTTAAATTCAGGTTAAACGCACAATCTGGCTTTTGTTTAAACTAGAGCTGTAGAACTACCGATCGTCATCAAATTCTATGTTTTCGATAGTTCGCATGGAAACTATATAGCGATTTTCAGTAACTTTGGCCTTTCACTTCGATACAAGAATCTCCGAAACTTGACTAACCCTGGCTTATATCAATAGTTTCTTCCATCGAAGCAGAATCACTAACACCATAGTTTGGTTCCAAAAAGATATACAAACTAGTTTTTTTTTTAATTTAATTACACCCGATTTAAATGATTCAAACACTTTAAAGCAATTCTGGTTCATTCTCTTTTATATTTTCTATTTGGGAAAATGTCAAAAGCAAAGTAAGAAACTTGAAACCACTTGATGCTACAGACTCACCCCTCTCTTCCACTAGCAATCAGAATTGAATTTATTACTTGAACCGTGTAAAACCCGGTAATAGGTAAAAAAATAAAAGCTTATAAAAATAGTGATGTTTAAGCAAATCAATGTAGCCAAGTCCCCATTTTCTATAATAAAAAAATGCATACTAAGAGGTACACACATATAATATAAACAATAGATATATTTCCTCAAACAAAGACTATTGATAGTGGCCATCGACCATTCGATAGTGCAAAAAAATATAACCATTCGATATTATTGATAGTTTTACAGCTCTAGTTTAAACTAACATCAGCCAATCAAATGTCAGCCAGCTGTTCAATTTAAACTCAGTTTACGAAAACTAAGTTTAAACTGGCACTGAAAAACTGGCCCTAAGGCAGTCAAATGTCAGAAAATAAAGAGAGAAAGCAATTTTATTACTTAACCTGTTTATTGCGCCATGACGAAAAAAAATTTGTTCAAATTTTTCAATAGAAGTTCGCTGTATTGTACCAATCGTGTGACTAAAAAAAAATGTTCGTCCCAATTTTTTCATTTTATACCAATATAAAATATATACAAATCTGTACAAATGTACCAATCGTGTGACACTGCCTGTACGTTTTCAATTTTAATCTTTTAAATGTAAACAAAAATTATATCAGCTGTTCGTACAACTTGCAATTTTCTGTTCGCGTATTAGTGATGTGCGGTTCCGAGTATTTGAAGAACCGGTTCTGGCGAGAATTTGGACCGCTTCCGGTTATACAAAAAAGGAGTAATGGAAATAATAATAAGAAATGATTGGCGCTTAAACATATGTTAGTGTTTCTCCGATTTGAGACTACTGATATATGTAGCTGATAAAGCCAATCTATTAGCTTTTGTAAGATTTCAGACCAATGAACCAATAGAAGAAGAAATACTTATTATTTGGCAGAGCTTCACCTACCAGTATGACTGGGGCTGATTTCTTTAACTGTTTCGTTGGTTTTTTTTGAAAGAAAACGAAATTGATTGATTTAAGTATGTTAGCATCGAAAATGAAGGCAGTTTCTCCATTAGTTGAATGGACTCACGCTGGTATTCACATATACTAGGGCTGCCATAATCCTTATCCCTATAAATAGAGTTTCCTTGGTTCTGGCGTTGCATATTTTGAAGTATTTTCTGATATTGTAAGCAATTTTGTTTTGTGGCACAATCCGTATTATTATTATAGCATACAATTTATTTTAGCGATAAATGGCAAAAGCAACTTTTAATTACATAAAATGATTTATAATTGAAATGCAATGTTTTGGTGTGGACCTTTACATTTAGTGTACTTTAGTTATTGGTTTATTGTTTTTGTCTCTTCCATTTTCAATCATTTTAATTCGATGAATACGGATCAAACTCGTCCCAAGTTTGGAATTTCGTACACTTAAGAGCTAGGCCTGGCTTGTATAGAAAAAGAAAAGCCTGTATTTGAAATACGGGGACAAAGCAAACAACTGACATTAAAGGTTGATTTTTAATTCATCGTAGTAAATGCAAATATCATAAATAACATGTTTTTTTTACATTTGTATTACAGGATAAATTAAAAGTTCTAAAAGATGTCTCCAAGGCGGTAAGTAGAGTTAAAAAAATATATTTTGGTATGCATCAGGGACGGCAAAGGNAAATTTTGTTTGCGTATAAATATGAACATATGTATGTATGTATATATCGCTGGCTGAGTGGAAGATCGACTTATCTCCGCTGCCAGTTCAAAAACAACCAGAATTTTAGTGAAAAACGCCTTATTGCAGAATTCGGTTCAAAATCGCCCTATCTCAAAAGAAAAAACATTGAAAATAAGCTGGGATAGGGCGTTTTTGAATCGGCAGCTGATATAGGGCGTTCTTCAACCAAATTCTGAGATAGGGCGTTTTTCAAGCAAATTCTGAGATAGGGCGCTTTTGAAAAGTTTTCTGAGATAGAGCGTTGTTGAAAAATGTTCTGAGATATGGTGTTTTCGAACTGGCTGCCGAGATAGGTCGAACTCCCACTTAGCCATAGTTTTTTCATTTCTCGAAAATACCGTTATCCCCATACGTGGTTATTGTCCGATTTCGCCCATTTTCAATACCAACCTACCATGGATAAAGAGAAACCTTTCTACAAAATTTCGTTGCGTTATCAAATATTTAATTTGAGTTATAGTGTGCTCTGATGGACAGACAGACTTGGCTTAATTGATATCTCTTTTTATTTCGAGTGTTTTGATAAATATCAATATCTATGCGAGCAAAGTTAATACACCCTTGTGCAAAAGTGCCATCGGGTATAAAAATATAAGTGCAGCAAACGCTTAAAGGCATTCCTTGAAATGCATTGAAGTGTGTTAGAAATACATATCGCATGCATTCTCCAAAGGCGTAGTACATAAGTCGAAATTTTCCGTTTGTCAAAAAACGTAAAACCCATTCCTTAGCTCATGATAATCATATGGGGAAGGGTGTTTACATTGTAATTACAAATTTTGAATTAATACACTTTTGCAGAGCATGTGCGATATGTGCCTATGTAGATAAGGACAACAAACAATGCACTTGAGCCGCCTCGATCTAACAATTTATTTATTGATAAATAAGTATAATCCGAATTTGAACGACGCACAGTGGTACAGCTCTATAAATTTTTTTAAAAAAATTAGAAGGAATCGGCATGGATTTTGAATTTTTTGTATGTGAAAATTTTTTGGAAAAATTGGCGTGATCGATTTATTTTAAAGCGCACCTCCCATATAAACCTAATCTCAAAAACGCCTTAAAAATGCCATAAAAATTTCACCGATGAATACTATATGACTCCGAAATTTCGTACAGAAGTTTGTAATAATGTTGAATATAAACTCCAAATAAATGGACGTAATCAATTTATTTCAAAGCATACCTCACATATAAACCATACCTCAAAACCGCTTTAAAAAGGCCGTTAAAAGTGGACCGACGAACATATCATTCCGAAATTTTACCAAGTTTTTAGCAATAATATTATAATTATACATCAAAAAAAATTGGAGTAATCGGTTTATTTTAAAACATACCTCGCCGGTAAACTTAACCCCAAAAACGCCTTAAAAATACAATAAATGCCATCAGTACTATATGCGGTTACGTTAAAAGTCACAAATATGAGCCAATTTTATTTCAGAAATCGATAGAAAATATTCCGGTCTTTAATTTTTTTTTATAGTGGGAAGGCGAAGGAAACATTGTTTTTACCTATCAAAAGTGTCAAAGTTAGCATTTATAAAGTGTGATTTTTTTTCTGCCTGTATTTGTTGAAATATTTGGTAGATTTTTTTATATATATTTTTATATGAACCTACAACAAAAACAATAATAACAAAATTTTTTAGAAAAACACATTACCTAGGTGAATAAAAATCTCAATTAGTTTTAGTTGAATACAATTCTTCCGAATTTGTTGGTTTTAGTTTGTATAAATCTGCCAATTTCGTTCAAAGTTGTCATACAATTTTCTTATTCAAATATCACTTTGTTTAGGCTGAACCATTAAAAATAAAAATTAAATATTGAAAAAACTTATTTTTTCCGCCAAAATACCACTGTGCGACGTAAAGAAATTTTACAACTGGAAAACTATATGTACATTAGGGTGGTCCAAAAACAGTAAATTCGTAATTGTAATGCTAGGATTGTTCTATATCGAAAAAAGTATATCCCTATTTTTTTATTTTGAAATCAAAAAATATTTAGAGGTCGTTCAAAGCGCTCAATGTTTTCCATGTATTTTTGTATGGCGGAAAAACAACTTTTCGTAGAAATGGTGTAGAATTCTTGAAAAGTTTTTAAATTGAAATTGCCCATTCAAGCAATAAATAAGAGTGTATTAGTGAAAAAGTGTGAAAGTATTGAAAATTGAATGGGGAAAATTGAATGTGTAATGGCCCGGTAAGTTCAGTTTCTTGTATGTACAACCAATATCCATGTTTCTGAAACAAATTGTATGAAGCCGAAAAAACTCTTTTTTTAACTAGGACATCTAAAAACATGATGAAAAATTATGAAACATAAAATATAAATATAAAATTTGATTTGATTATGATCAATCAGCTGTTAAAATTGAACAAAAAATTGCCGATCGTTTTAAAAGAAAAATTGCTTTGAAGATGATATGCAACTTTCAAGGAGTAAAGATATAATTAAATAAATAAAATGAAAAAAAAACTTTTTTATATACCACGCTTATATAAATGGGTTAAAAATTAGAAAATAATATTTCTCAGTCCCATTAAATTTGTTTTGATAACTTTCGATTTTGAAATTTTAGCAAAAGTTATTATAAACCATTTATGAGATTGAAAACGAAAAACGTATGCCCTCCACGTTATGCATTATGGCGTTTTCGAATCTATCGAAAAAGGTTACCTTCTCTTTGCCCTCTACGAACATAAACAAAGAAGACGGCAATGAGAAGGCAACAGTTTTTGTAGAAACGAAAACGCCATTAGATTTAATTGACAATAGTCAAACTACATAACATAGACCAAAAATTTCTACAGAGAAAGTACAAATTTTAGGATCAATTTTAAGCGGTCGTTATTCATATATCCACTTACAAACATATATTACCCTTCATATCAATTCAGGTCTATAACATGCGCCCCACGCTAGTAATAAATAATGTAGTTATATAAACAAGTAATTTTTAGCAAAAAAAAACCGACTTCAAAAAAAATATATATATATTTCATGATCCAATGATGGGATCTTAACCAGATTAGTATGTATTTATGTATGTTATGCGGTAACATACTTAAAAAAATTATTCCGACGAACTGATAACCTCCTCATTTTTCGGAAGTCGGTTAAAAACTAGTTTGTCACGAAATGAAAACAAATTTTATTAGCACACTCGAAATTCATTATAAAATTTTTATATACCCTTGTGGCCAGCTGATTAAGTCAAGTGACATTTTGACAAGTTTTGGATATTTTTTTTTGTGTACTTAATGCATATATTTTTTGTATAAAGGTCTAGCACTTAACCTAACCAGCGCCACATTTCAAACTTCATACAAAAATTATGAAAACTCAACAAACTTTAACAATTGCTTTGAACTTTAGAAAATTTTGGGTATGCATGCTTACAAATACAATTGTAGTATATTTAAGGTATTTCGTCCGAAATAAGTCTACATATACATGTATATTGGATTTAAGTAGACCAATGATGCTACCCCATTTTGAAATTGCCACCAACTGCACTGTATAGATTCAAGAACGATTCACTATCGAACCGGACCATTGTTGTCGCAAGAACTTCTTCACGGACATAACGTTTTCATTAGGTTATTTTATACAGAAATGGAGGATATGCCTTCAGATGACCACAAAAGCAAACGTGAACGTACGCGAATTGTTTGTGAAAACGTTGGACCAAATGTTTCAGTAAAAATTTACTTTAGGGCGGAACGAAGTTCGCCTGGTTTGCTAGTTTTTTTTTTATAATAGAAATGTACTGATTACCGTCCCTGATGCATACATGTACATATATGTATATCAGTATGTACGCAATATCCGTATGTATGAGTATTCTCACGTGCATTTCCATATAGCCTATTCACAGGAACAAATCCAAATTTGGAGCAAATGACTTCTGATAACTTATACCATTTAGCGGTAAATATACCAGATACCAAGAGCACAGCTGAGATTAAAAAACAATACGGACACATTAAGGTAAGCATACGTATCGAAAGAAATACATATTTTGAAATAAGCGCCAACGCGAAAATTAATTTTCCTTGTTTTCGTTCAATGGCA